TACCAAGAACCATGAACTAACTGCCTCAATCCATTCACCAGCCCTCTCATCTCCCACAAAACTAGGAATGTCAAAGGTAGCAAAATCATGTAAAATGATGAGCTATCACACAGCACTATTTACTAGCTGTGCTGGATAGCTTTAGTGTCAACTTGATACACCCGGGTTGAGGGAGCCTCAGTTGGGGAATTGCCTCCATAGGACTGGCCTGTGGCCATGTCTGTGAGGCATCTTCTTGACTGTTCAGTGATGTGGGAGGGCCCAGCCAACTGTAGGTGGTGCCACCCCTGGACAGGTGGGCCAGTGTTTCATAAGAAAGCAAGCTGAGCAGGGGGCAGGGGAGCAAGCCAGTAAACAGCATTCCTCCCTGGCCTGTGCTCCAGCTCCTGCCTCCAGGTTCTTGCCCTGGGCTCCTACCTTGGGCTCCCTAATGAACTGTAGTAAGCTGAATAAACCCTTTTCTCCCCAAGTTAGTATTGGTCATAATACTTTGTTACAGCAATAGAGAGACAAACTATAACAGAAATTGGTACCAGAGAGTGGGACATTGCTGTGACAGACCTGACCTTGGTGTTTTTAGGAGGATTGTGGAAGCATTCAGAAATTTTGACTGAAAAAGCCATTGAGTGCTTAGAGTTTGTTGCTGTCGAGCTTTGAACAATTATGCTGAGAGAGCTGTAGACATTGGAGCCCTGGCTTTTGAAGCTTCAAAGGGAAACAGAGACTATTGGGGCTGTTTTTGTGATATTTTGAACTGAGAATCTGTGGGTTCTGGTTGGCTGGGGCTGAAGCATCATCTGTGATTAAGAAGAGACCAGAATCTGAAGTAAAACCTTTGCTTTACTGGGACAATTGATGCCCTAGTTAGCTGGGGCTGAAAAATCAGCTGTAAGTAACAAGAGACCAGCATCACCATGGTGAAATCTTCTGGGAAGTATTTCCTCAGGGTCTGTACACAGAAGCTGTGTTCAAGAGAGGACCCGAGCCACCATCTCCAGCAGAAAGCAGGACTTGGTAGTGTATAAGAGTCTCCTGCATGGTTCTGGTGTTGAAAGCATGAAGGGGTCACAGAGAGCAACTGAGTCTTGGCAATCTGAGAGTCCAGGAAAGGCATAGGTAAAAGTGCAGCTTCAGTTGCAGCAAATACCCCAGAATTAAAGGGGTCATGGAGAGAATCTGAGGCTTTGCACCCCAAGAGGCAAGAAGAAGCCATTTGTGAAGGTGTAGCCTCAGTTTCTGTGGGGACCCCAGCTTTTTAGAAATGCCAGAACCACCGAACGACCACCAAGAGCAGCAGCAGGTATGGAATGGAACTGGCTTGTGTCTTTGAGACAAGCTGTGTGTGTTGTGTACAGCAGAGTCAGAGAGATGAAGCGGCCAGAACCTTTGGAGCCCAGAAGATCATGAGTGAATCCCAGATGTCCAGCCTTGAGCTACTTTGCTGGATTTAGGTTTTGCTTAGGTGTACCCAATTCTTCCCTTTGAAATAAGACAGTACTTGTTTTGGATTTTACAGGAGCCCCCAGTTAAGAGACATTTAAAAAACTGTGGACCTTTAAGTGTTTAGCTTTTTTAAGGACTGTGGGGCTTTTAAGGCTGTACTGTCTTATGTTGTGATAATAATGTTAACATCATATCTTGGGGATGAGAATTGGAAAGGTTATGGTTTAATAGTGATGTGTTTCTGTGTCAAGTTGACAAGGGGTCAGCTATGCTGGATAGCTTTAGTGTTGACTTGACACACCTGGGTTGAGGGAGCCTTAATTGGGAAATTACCTCCATAGGACTAGCCTGTGGCCATGTCTGTGGGGTATCTTCTTGATTGTTGAGTGATGTGAGGGCCCAGCCCACTGTGGGTGGTGCCACCCTAGGGGCAGGTGGGCCTGTGTTGCATAAGAAAGCAAGGTGAGCAGGGGCAGGGGAGCAAGCCAGTAAGCAGCATTGCTCCATGTCCTGTGCTCCAGCTCCTGCCTCCAGGTTCTTGCCCTGAGTTCCTACTTTGGTGTCCTAGTTTGTTTTTCCATTGCTGTGACAAAATACTCTGACCAATACCAACTTGGGGAGGAAAGGGTTTATTTTACATATCCTGGGTCACAGTTCATCAGGGAGCCCGAGGTAGGAACTCAGGGCAGGAACCTGAAGACAGGAGCTGGAAAACAGGCCATGGAGGAATGCTGCTTACTGGCCCAAGTGATGATGTTAACATTAATATCACAACATAAGACAGCACAACCTTAAAAGCCCCACAGTCCTTAAAACATTCAAACACTTAAAAGTCCACAGTCTCTTTTAAAAGTCTCTTAATTGGGGGCTTCTGTAAAATCCAAAACAAGTAGTATCTTATTTCAAAGGGAAGAATCCAGCACACCTAAGCAAAACAAAGCCCAGCAAAGTAGCTCAAGGCTGGACATCTGGAATTCACTCACAATCTTCTGGGCTCCAAAGGGTTCTGGCAGCTCCACTTCTCTGACTCTGCCATCCACAGCATGCACACACAGCTTGTCTTGCAAACCCAGACCTGCTCCATTATTTTATCTCACATCTCCCAGGTCACAGTTCATCAGGGAGCCTAAGGTAGGAACTCAGGGCAGGAACCTGGAAGCAGGAGCTGGAGCACAGGCCATAAAGGAACATTGCTTACTGGCTTGCTCCCTGTCCCCTGCTCACCTTGCTTTCTTATGCAATACAGGCCCACCTGCCCAGGGTTAGCACCACCCACAGTGGGCTGGGACCTCCCACATCATTCAACAATCAAGAAGATGCCCCACAGACATGGCCACAGGACAGTCCTATGGAGGCAATTCCCCAATTGAGACTCCCTCAACCCAGGTGTGTCAAGTCAACACTAAAGCACACTTGGGCTCCCTGATGAACTGTGATCTGGGAGATGTAAGCTGAATAAACCCTTTTCTCTCCAAGTTGGTATTGGACAGAGTGTTTTGTTACAGCGATGGAGAGACAAACCAGGACACTAGCAAAGAGCAAAGATAGAAGTGTATTCTTGCTGCTGTTCTGTGATGTGATGGGGGTGGGGGAAGAAATCCCTGTCAAGAATTTGTGACAATGTGCTTAGTCCTTGTCATGTTTAAGACCCTTGGTAGAGCTAAATTCAGAAAGCATTCTGAGGGAATGTACCTTAAGATCAGTCAATGGAAACTTTTCTGCTGAAGATGAGCAAACTAAAATTAGAAAGCACGTAAGGAGACCATCCACCTGAGCAATGATTAGCAGATGTTCGAAACAGCAGGTAAGACCCTCAAGACTTCAAATAATGCAACAATCTCATATAAATACCAAGTTCATCTAAAGCCTGAGTATTTTGACAAAGCAACAGAATCCCTGACTATAAAACTAAGTACAATTCAAGCAGATCTGGAAATACACAGACACAGACACACACACACACATACACACACACACACACAAAGACAAATACGATTTTCAGAAAATAAAGAATAGTAACAGATTAATAGAGAAAAGCAAATGATACAGAAAAGGTGATGAATACTGAGAAAATTGTCAAGAAAGCAAAGACTGTAAATAAAACTAATGATCATTTGGGGGTATATGAAATCAAGGCAGAATTAATATGCCTGATCACAATACTATGGAAAACAAGATGGAGTTATTAATGAGAAAATGTTCTGTGAATTATATTATTGAGAAAAAAAGCAGAAAGTCTAAATTTGTTTTATTTTTTTAGATAACATATGCTAAATCTTTTTTTTTTTTTTTGGTCTCAAAAATCAGTAAAACTCTATTCACTTCCATTCTTTCACCATTAACATAAAACTGGAGAAAACAAAAATGTTTTGTGTTTACAAAGATAAATGGCCTCTTTACTCAGAGATCAAAACCTCAAATGACAATGGGGAAGATGAAAGCGCCTTCCCCATGACCCGAGCTGACCCTTGTCATCTTAAGACAAAGCCTTCAGTCCACTTGCTGGGGACCCTGTAAAGTGGCCAGTTCCAGATGAGGGCCAAGAAATAAGGCCAATCCATTCCTGTCATACAAAGCTGAACAGAAGCTACACCATGGATCAAGTGCCTGTATTCAACAGGACACAGGAACTAGGGAGCTACTTATTTTTAAAAGAGAGAGAGAGAGAGAGAGAGAGAGAGAGAGAGAGAGAGAGAGGGAGATTCATTTCAGGCACAGCTTTTTTGTGGTTTTTTTAAAAAAATCAGTAAAAGAAACTAGGTCCTGGAAGCTGCAGTGGTCTAAGCAACAGCAAGTCTGTGCATTCGTCTGTTTGTTTAAATTACCACACTGCTGGCATATTTCATTTGCATGAAATTCTGCATCATACATACTAATTGTGGTAAAGTTATTTACCCCCTACCCCAAGAAGAAAAAAATACTTGCTCTGGAAGATAATTTTCACTGAAATCTAATCAAACTTCAAGTGGATTGTCACAATATTATAAATGATATGAAAAATAACATTTTAACATTTGGCCATCAACTTAAGAAAATGGTTTGCCATATAAATTTTTGCAATTTTTAAAGTATAGTATATTTTACCCTCATATGATCCTCAGAATTAAAACATAATGAGCAAGAAAGAAAAAGAATGCAGCTGAGAGCTAAGGCAGGACAGCTTGCCAGAAGTAATGACGGTAGAGTATATAACTAAATATCAAGTGCATAATTTTATAGGGCCAACAAGGTAACAGTCTATATTTTTCATTTAACACAGGCGAAGTGGATTTTGCAATTACCAGTTGTGTTAAATGCACCAAATAAAGCTCCTAAAATTGACACTATAAGGTGCCACCTTAAGTTTTCCAGGCTGCAACTGTGCATAATTTTAAAATGGTTTCTTAAATTTACTTATTTTTTTAAGCATAACATGAGGAAGGTGTTAAAACTGGTGTAATAGCTCAATAGAATAAGTATTCCAGATTTTGGGAGGGATGAAGAGGAAGATATTCAGAACCATTCACCAGAATCCCCCCAATTGAGCATAGTAGATTAATGATGTGCTTGGTGGATGGTTAGTCAGTGACAACAGCTTGATGGATCTGTCTTTCTGCACCAAATCCCAATGAGTTGCCTTGTCCCCTTGGCTGATGAAGAACCATTAGGCGAGGAGCACTGGCATCATCTAGGGTGATATTCTTCAAACAATTGACCAACTGATCAGATAGAGGAGCTGCAATAGCTTTGGGACCCTAACAGACTCTCCAAACATTACAAGCACTGCATTTCTCAGTGTACTGATTGGGATCCCGGAGAACTCCACCTCATCTCCTGCCTGTAGCCCAATGCCATCTTGAACTTCTTTCACATGGAAAAAGAGCTTCTTGCTGTCTCCTAATTCATAGTTAATAAAGCCAAACTGATCTTTCACACACTCCACAGTGGCCCTACAAAGGCATGTGATGTTGTAGGCCATAGTTTGTGCATTTCATCCCAGGGCACGTAACTAGAACATGACAGTTATGGGAAGTGCACTGGGCTCTCGGGGACCCTGCGCGCACCCGGAGAGGCGCAGCGAGTCCCGCGGGCTTCTCCGCCGCGCACACCTGGAGGATCGGCGGGTCTGGTCGCGCACCGGGTCGCTGTCTGCCGCTTGAGTGCTGAAAGTCTCTGCTGCCCCAGGCTTTGCCCGGCCGAGTTCCACCCTAATTTCACCCGTGTACTCTCTCTCTGAGTTCAGGACCCGTCAGCTGCGGGGTCACGAGGAGAGGTACGAGGTGGCTAAAGCTAGGTCTCCGTGAGTCGATGACGGGGGAATACCGCCCCCCGGGGAGACTGGAATGCAGGCAGGGAGACACAGGATTCAGCTTTCCGTGTTACAGCTCTTTATTAAGTGATTCTGCTCGGCTCCAAGTCTCAGTGACCCAGCTCTAGTTCCTAGCTCCAGCTCCAATTATTGAGGGGAAACCAGGACATTTTATACCGTGGGGGTAGTGGTAAAAGCTTTTGCTGATAGGTACTTTGTGAGATGCCCTATTTACATATGGAAGTAAACTCCTGCCTCGCTGCTAGACTGCCAGGAAAAATCACACAGGAAAGCATGGCATTTCCAGAGCCGGAGGCCATGTTTTCTATGGCGGCTACTTCAAAGGAGAGTCAGGAAGATGCAAGATGCCAGGAAGGTATCCTGCTGAAAAGGAGTCATCTGCATATGAAACCGAGCCCATGGGCCATCCGAACATGGAGAGACTACGACTTCACAGCAGGGGTCCCCAACAGACAGTCTCCCCTTTCTGTAGGCAATCCCCTTTGTTAGCTATTCCAACTATGCCAAATGGATACACCTCACCTTTCATAACCTCCTCCTCCACAATCTCAATCATTCCTTGGTACTCAATCTGCATTGGATCAACACCCCTCAGAGGGTGAATGACCTTACCAGAGTAGATGGTGGAATCAGCTTCCTCAGTAATGCTGTTCACTGAGTGAGTTTTGTTGACTTTCTCAGCACTGACTTTATTGCCTTTGCCTTTGGACAAGCTATATTCAACCATGTCCCCCAGTTCTAGGCTATCAACATCACCAGAGAACTCACCATAATGGAAAAAGCTTTCTTTATCATGATTGGCTCTTTCAATAAATTCAAAATTATCTTTCAGAGTTGCCACATAAGCCAAGAGCCTTTTGGAGTTAGAATTATGACCTAAAAGTAGCACACAAGTTGCAACCTTCTGTCCAGGCCTCTGTTTGTCACTAATACTAAATTCAACCTTATCTCCTATTTGAGGAGAAGTAGATCCTTCTACATCCTTGGCTTGAAAATCAATAGTCAGCTTCACCCCACAGTCATCATAAGCCTTGGCCTCCTTGTTTTTATTTGGGCTAGTAGTTTTAGGATTGGAGAAAGTGGCTTCTTTTCCTAGAGTGCCCAGAAAATGATGATCTGAATGGGAATGGAATGAAACTGTGCCCGTGGGAAGTTTTTTTAATCCTAATAGGATGATTTCTTTTGGCAGAGAGCATATCAGGAACCACATCTGCAATGTGGAGCTGGTTTCCATCTAGAATTTCACTGAAGTGGAAGAACATTCGAGCACCTCGATCCACACACTTGGTGAAACCAAAACCATCTCTCATGGCAGCAATCACACCCATTTCTCTGGCTTCATTAGTGAAGTGAAATGTATTTGATAGAACTATGTTGGTTGCTCGTTCTAATTTGTCATATCGGTCTGTTGAAATATTAAACCTAACACGGTCCCCTTCCAGCAGGGCCACATAAGAAGATGTGTCTTCCATTTGAACAGATTTCATTGCTCTGGTTCCTTCTTCCCATACTCCCAACAAATTTGAGAGACACTTCAAAACCAGAATATTGGCCACCTCAAGGGTTGTGTATCTTAGAATTCTTCACAGGGTAAGGGAATCTTCCCAGATCACATACTCAAAGTAAGTATAGTCTGATCAGTAGAGGCTCAGAATATGGAAAGAAGGGCAGATACTAAAGTGAAGATACCTTGGGCAGACATCAGTCAATTCTACAATACAGATATTACACCAGATGTAATACAGATAAACCACAGGAAATGTAAGAAGAGTCCAGAAGTTCAGCTGACACCCCACCTTCTGTCCCATGCGTATAATTTGCAGCCTGTGAGTTTAGAGAACAGAGAAAGAAGATACTCCAACAAATCATCCTCTTTTCTCTGTTTTATTTTCTTGATTCTTTTGCTTCCAGATTTTTATTTTTCATTATATTTTATTATCATTTTTACTTACTAGATTTTTAATATTTCTACATATTTTATCATTTATTGATTCATTTTGAAAGGCTGCATGTTTCACAGCATACATGTGGTGGTCAGAAGACAATTTGTGGGAGTCAGGTTTCTCCTTCCACCTTGTGGGTCCCAGGGATCAAATTCAGATCATCAGACTTGTCTGAGAATACCTGAAGCCACTAAATCATCTTGTTAACCCTTTCTATGTTTCTATTTTTATTTCATTTAATATATTTATCTAACTTTTCAAGGCAGTTTCTTTTTACTATTCAACCATGCTTTTCTTTTCCTTTTATCCTCTCTTTATTTTCATTTTTGCCCCAGATTTCTACTGTTACTTTTAGAGAAATATTGTTTCTTTATTTCCATGTCATGTTTTTTTTTCTCCTTAAATTCTTAAAAAATAGTTTATTAGCCTGCGTCAGTGGTGCACAACTTTAATCCCAGCACTTGGGAGGCAGAGGCAGGCAGATCTCTGTGAGTTCAAGGCCAGCCTGGTCTACATAGTGAGTTCCAGGCCAGCTAGGGCTACAGGGAGACCCTGTCTCAAAAAGACCAAAAAATTTTTTATTGAATTTCACAATTTTCATACAGTATAATTTGATGATATTTAGAGTCCTTCTCCCATTTGCACCTGTCTTACTGAACCTTTCCAAATTTAATGCACTTTCTATATATTAAGGCCTATAGTGTCTAATTTGTAATCTCAAATGTCCTTCACTGTGGATCCATCCACTAGAGGTCAGTTAACCTACAAGAGTCACATTCTTCAAAGAGACTGACTCTCCCCCTCCGAGCATTGGTTGCCAAAAGATCCTTAGGTACAGTTGGGGTTTTTACCCATTTCCCCACATGTATGCTGTTTCAATTTCCTTATTTGTTATGGGTCTGTTTGAGCTGTTGATCTCTTCTTGATTTAACCTTCATGGTTTCCATGAACTTAGAAATTCATCCATTTCTAATAGATTATAAATTTTTTATTTATTTTTATTTTATGTGTAAGAGTGTATTGCTTGCATCTATGTAAGTGTACCCAAGTCATTCAATGCCTGCATAGGTTAGAAGAGGGTGTCAGATTCTCCTGGAACAGCAGTTACAGATGATTGTAAATTGCCATGTGTGTGCTGGGAACCAAACCCAGTTCCTCTGCAAGAGCAGCCAGTACTCTTAACCACTGAGCCACTTCTCCAGCCATAGATTTTCAAATTTAATAGAGTATAGGTTTTCTAGATTTTTTGTTGTCTGTTGTGTTGTTTCCCCTTTAATCACTAATTTTTTTATTGGGCATTGCACTTTCTTTTGGTCTGTCTACCTTGTTTAACTTTTTAATGAACCAGCTCTTAGAGTCATTGATTTTTTTTTGTATTCTGTTCTTTGTTTCTATTTAATTAATTTCCACTTTGATTTTTGTTATTTATTCTATTAGTTTTAAGTTTTGTTTTTTTCTTGCCTTTCCAGAGCTTTCAGTTGTACTGTTAAGTCATTCTTATGTACTTTTATATGTGCATTTACATGTGCTTTGATTTTTAAATGTAGGCATATAGAACTATAAATATCCCAATTAGGACTGCTTTTAAAGTGTCCCAGAGGTTTTGTTGTATTGTATTATCATTTTTATTTAGTACCAGGAATACCTGTATTTCTTTCTTAATTTCTTCTTTGATTCATTCATTATTCAGGAATATGTTGTTTAAGTTCCATGAGTTTGTATAGTTACCAAATCTTCTTTTGGTGTTGATTATAAGCTTTGTTGCATTGTGATCTAATAGAATACATGGAATTATTTCAATATTTTGTATTTGTTGAGATTTGTTTTGTGCCAAATATGTGCTCAATTTTAGAGGAACTTGCAAGGGCTACTGAGTAGAAAGTGTAGTTTTGGGTGCTTGGGTGGAATATTCTGTAAGATGTCATTTAATTCAGATGTCTCTCTGTTTATTCTTTGTTCAGTTGACCTTTCTATTGGTGATAGTGGAGTATTGAAGTAATTTACTATTACTAAGTTGGGGTTGATCTGTGTTTTATAGTCCTGTAGTACTGTTTTTATGAAATTGGGTGCATCAGAGTTTGGTGCATGTATATTCATGATTGTAATAACTTTTTGGTCACTTTTTCCTTAGATCAGAATGAAGTGGCCCTTTTTACCTCTTTTGATTCATTTTAGTTTGAAGTCTATTTTGTCAGATATTAGAATTGCAACTCCTGCTTACTTCTTAGTGCCATTTCCTTGAAATATTTTTTCCATCATTTTGCCCTAAGGTGGTGCCTATCCTTGAGGGTGAGATAAGTTTCTTGCAGACAACAGACATACGGATTTTGTTTCTTAATCCATTCCACTAGCCTTTCTTTTGACTGTGGAGTTGAGGACATTGGTATTTAGAGCTATTATTGAAAAATGTGTATTGGTTACTGTAATCTTACTTTGTGTTCTTGGTCTTATTTTGTGTTTCCATAATTATACTTTCCTTTGTTTTCTTTATGTAACCTCTTGGTTATAGTCATTCCTACCTCAGATTCTTTGTATTGCTTCACATATTCTCTCTAGGGCTGGTTTAGTGGACATTAGTTCTTTCAGTCTATTTGTGTCATGGAAAATTTTCATTTTCCTTCAACTATGATAGATAGTTTTTCTGGGTGAAGTATTCTGGGTTGGCATCCATGGTCATTTAGAACTGGAAATTCTTTGGTACAGGCTCATCTGGCTCTCATAGTTTGCATTTGTCTCTCAAACTGCCTGTTTCTGCCAAGGGGTGGGGCCTGCTGCAGAGAATTGACTGGGGAGGTGTTTTCTGCACGATCTTGGAACAGAAGCCACCCAGCAGGTATGAAGAAAAAAATGGCCCCAGCGTTTCACCTGCATGGATGCGAGAGGGGGCATTTACCAATCTGGGGCGAGACTGCAGGCCCAAGATGCATGGGCGAAAGTTAATGGAGACTATGAGCAGGTTCAGAAGTGATCTAAAATGGCAGGCTGAGCCACACAGAGCTGGGTGCCGGGTGTGCATTTCTTTGTAAGTCCCATTTACCCCCTCCCCACCCAAAGGCATAAATCATAATAAATTCATATAAAAGTGTGTTATATGGTTTATCTGATCATGCAAGAGACCCCAAAAGAACTCTGGCAACAATATTGAAAGGTCAACTTTGTATATAAAGGATTTTCCTTTATACATAACTTGTTTTTCTCTGGCAAGTTTTAGTATTTTCTCTTTGTTCTTTATGTTTACTGTTTTTACTATGATATACTGTGGGTAATTTCTGTTCTAGTCCTATCTAATTAGTGCTGTATGTGATTCTAGAATCTATATAGACATATCTTTCCTTAATTTAGGGAAGTTTTTTCTATAATCCTGTTGAAGATCTGGTCAATACCATTGACCCAAGGTTCTTCTCCTTCCTGTATGTCTATGATGTATACATTTTGTCTTTTCATTGTATCCCACATTTCCTGTGTATTCCATTCCTGTGTTTTTTGAAAGTTTTTAATCTTTGTTTAAAGACTCCAGTTCTTCAACTTTCTTGTCCTGTCTTGATATTCTATTTTCTGTTTCATTCATTTTGCTTGTGAGGCTTTCTTCTGTTGTTTCAAATTGACTTATTGAAGTTTTCCATTCAATCTTAATTTCAGCTTGAATTTTCTTCAATATTTCTATCTCTTTTGTGAATTCACTTTTTAAGTACTGAATTGTTTTTGTTTTTTCATTCAGTTATTTCATTCATTGAGCTCCCGTTACAAGTTTATGCAAATCCTCAAGTTCTCTGAGTTGTTTCTTTGTGTTTTCTTTACATTCTTTGATTGTTTATGATTTTTTTTAATTCTGTATCATAAGGTTCTACAGGGCGATTCTCATGGTAATACACTTCGGTATGATGAGTGGGTATTGTTGGGGACATATTCTCTTGGTTTTTAATATTATTTGTTGATGTAACTTGGTTGATTTTTGCTCAGATATGAAAAATTAGTTGGTGTGCACTAGGTTCTCTCAGGGTAGTGCGCAGGTCTGACTAGAAGGCAGATCTGTGGGAGAAAAAGGTCAAGGGCAAGACAGGGAATGGAGACAGCATGTGGAGGGGCTAACAAATGAAGCTGGAGAATCGACCCACTCTGGGTGCCAGGGATCAGGACACAGTGCACAGGTCTGGATGAAGAGGGGAGTCAAGATCTGAGGCTGCATAGTGAGAGCTGGCCTGGGACCAAGGCTACAGGGGCCACTGGGTAGAGGGAAAGGGAGAGTGTAGGTGCTCAGGCTGCAGGGGAGTTAAGATGCCCTTCACAACATTTTTATACACTTACATGTTCTTCTTTTATTTAGTAGTGATCATTATTTATTCTTCAACTACCAAATTTGATGAGACTGAAATAGGTAAATGCTGGATGAATATTGTCTAAGTTCACTATGA